ACCTTTCTTTGAAATGGGCACACATTTGTATGTTTTCCAGTCTGTTGACCAGGTGGCTGTCTTCCAAAGCTCTCAGCATAGATTTGTGGGTGCGTCTAGGATTACATCCATTTGTTGAAATGCTTTACTTGGCAACCAATCAATTTTTGGAGCCTTAATTTTCACTTTTGCCTTCAGTGCAACTTGAAACTCTTTCTTTAGTAAGGGCGACAATCTTCACACTTTGAGTTAACTGCTGCTTGTTCAGACTTTAGGCAGTAGCTGCACTTCAGCTTTGAAGAACAACATAGGGCCATAGACTTGAAGACACTTCCTGCCTTAGCAGGTCCGTCCAGATTATGAAGTTCCGTGTCACATGATTTCTCTTATTTTCTCATTTTTTTCTGACTTCATTTATGTATTCCTGTTCGGCATGTTCAGTAATGGTAACAGGGTACCGTATCGTAGTGCTGATGTCCAGGTGGAGGAGGCAGTGCTTTGTGTAGCCATTATCCCTGCACTTTATTTCCTCCTTTTTTATGATTCCAGATGAGCAAATACCTATAGTTTATCTCATGTGGAGGCTTGTAGGCTCAACAATTCCTCACCGTACTGGAAGGTAGAACATCATCTATTAACTGTATTAGGACAATGAACTAGGTTGTCCCTGGAGACCACATCCTTAAGCCTCCAAATGAAAAGAAGGCCTCCCAAATGGTGGTTGGTCATGACTGTTTCTTCTCTATCCTGTAAACGTCCCACCTGCGTGGCTTCTCAACTCAGTCGATGACAACTCCACCTTTCTAATCACTTAGGTTAAAACAGCAGCAGCAGCTAACACAGTGACCTTGACTACTCTGTGTCACTCATGCTTCATCCAGTTGTGTTTTCTCAGTGTTTCCAGACTCTAGCAGCCTCTCAAAGCTTCTCTCTTAGTCTTCTCCAAGAAATATTGTCCTACCACTTGAATTACTCCAAAATGCTCATCGAATATGTACTTTTCTCTATACTTTGTGGCCACACAGCAATTCAGAGTAGCTATTTTATGGTGTAGGTGAAACTTCAGTTCTAAAAAGAAATCTAGATCTGGCGCATTACTCAGAGTACATCCTTAACGTAGCCTCGAAGCCCCATAGGCCTTGTCTCCTCTCTCCACACACTCTCATTCACAACATCTACGATGGCTTTGAACTCCGGTCTCACTCCACGTTCTTCTCAATTACAGCCACACTGGGTTTCTAGCTGTTCCTAAAATGCTAGAGACCTGCTCCTACATGAAGGCTGTGCTTGGATCAGCTCTCCCTCATGTAGACCTACAGCCTAACACATGTCTTCACCTCCTCGAAGTTTCCTCTCAGATCTTATCTTCCCAATCAGACTTTATTTAATACTTCAGTCTTATCCTACATTCACTTCTGTGTGTTCGCTGTTCTTTATTCTGCCCTATTTAAAAAAATTAATTGTATTTACTTCCTAAAGAAAACAAAATAAAATAGCTCACTGCCATCAAGTTGACCCCCCTTCATGTAAGACAGAGTAGAACAACCCCTGTGGGTGTCAAATACTGTAAATTGTTGCAGAAGTAAAACATCTCTTCTTTCTCCCATGGAATAGCTGATGGGTTTGAACTGCTGACCTTATAGTTAGCAGCCCAACTTGTAACCCACTAGGGCACCAGCATTCCCTAGTTATCACCTACTCACATGTTACTACTTATTTATTATGGTTGCTACTTATTATTTGTCTCCTTCAATTAAAATATAAGCTCCACGTAGGCAAGTTTTTTTCTGTGTAGTTCACCAATGCTTCAAATTCATTCTAGAGTGCCTGGTACATGATCAAGTATTTATTCAATAAAATGTTTGTTTAATTGTTGAACTGATTGAAGTAGGCATGCCTTATGGAAGCAACAAGTTCAAGATAATTAATAATCAGAAAAAGGTTAAACAAGATATAATTCTACAATCATCAAATTTTCTACTGGTACAGCTATTTAATTCTGATATATTATGTATTCACGAAGATGTAACAAAATGAGGACATTTATACGTGGATGTTTTATAAGTTGCTGCAATTTCTAGCAACCCAGCCTCTAATCCACAGGGCCACCAGGGCTCCTTGTGGAAGAAGCACACCAGCCTATGCGATCACGAGGTGTCGAAGGGATCAGATACAAGGCATCATCAGAACAAAAAATCATACCATAGTGAATGATGGGGGGAGTGCAGAGTGGAGACTCAAAGCCCATTAGCAGGCCACTGGAGACCCCCTTGCAGAGGGGTCTCAGGGAGGAGACGAGCCAGTCAGGGGGTGATGTAGCAACAATGAAAAATACAACTTTTCTCTAGTTCCTAAATGTTTCCTCCCCACTCCCACTATCATGATATGAATTCTACCTTGCAAGTCTGACTAGACCAGAGGACGTACACTGGTACAGATAGGAACTGGAAATACAGGGAATCCAGGGCAGATGATCCCTACAGGACCAGTGGTGTGAGTGGTGATACTGGGAGGGTAGAGGAAGAATGGGTTGGAAAGAGGGAACTGATTACAAGGAACTATATGTGACCTCCTCCCTGGGGAACAGACAACAGAAAAGTGGGTGAAGGGAGACGTCAGACAGGGCAAGATATGACAAAATAAGAATTTATAAATTTTCAAGGGCTCATGAGGGAGGGGGGAAGGGGGAGAGAGGGGAAAAATGAGGACCTAATGCCGGGGGCTTAAGTGGAGAAGAAATGTTATGAGAATGATGAGGGCAATGAATGTACAAATGCGCTTTACACAATTGATGTATGTATGGATTGTGATAAGAGTTGTATGAGCCCCTAATAAAATGATTTTTAAAAAAAGTTGCTGCAATTTCATTGAACAAACACTTATTCCTCTCTTTGATATCCCACTAGGAGACAATTGACTAAATACAACAGGATGATTGCATTTTGTTAATTTATAAGAATTAAAAAGTAGAAACTAAGTACTTGTTGGTAAAGGACTAGAAAAGTGACATCATAATTTATACCATTAAAGTAAATCCATAAATTAGAAAATTTACCCATACAGGAATTTTACCAAATATAAACAAACAAATTTGAACATGATATAAGTATATATATTCAAAAATTATATTTGTTAAGTAATAATTATTAAACACTATATAGTACTATATATTGTTTCGATATATGCGAATGCATGCACACAGAATCAAATAATGATAATCTAGATGGCGACGCTGCAATCAAGTCAATTCCAATCCGTAGCAGCTCTCTCCAGGGTTTCTGAGACTATACATCTCTATAGGAATAGATGGTCTCAGGTTTCTCAAGGAGTAGCTGGCGGGTTTAAATGGCTTGCCTTGAAGTGATAGCACCTAGAAATATCAGTATCTGGGATAGGAGGAACTCTTATTAGTGGAGTGACTGAGGAATATAATTGTTCTATTGTATTTTAATTTATTTAAAAAGAAATTTATGAAGCAAATAGGACAAATTTATGGTAATAGGTATACAAATTTCTACTGTATTCTGTATTTTTCTCTAGAGTAACCATATTTTTAAGTATGATATTATATACTTCACACTGAAGAATAAGGTAGATTTTTTTCTAAGATCATATGAAATTAAATTTTGACATTTATTAATAATTTTCTGTATATATCTATTGTGTTTTCATCTTATTTACAATTAATGTACGCTAAGCAGGAAACGAAAAACTAATGCATTCATATTAGATATTTTTGTTGTTATTTTAATTTACCTTTAATGTTTGAAATGCATTAAATAGGAGGACATATATGCTGGTATTTACAAATGTGAACTTCCTCAGACAATGACATTTTTAATTTGCTCTGGAAAATAACTGTAAATGTAATTGAAATGTTTTAAAGTACTATAAAGAGGTTATATAATGCATTTCTCCTTTTGTGTGGGCATTTCAAATACTTTTTTTCTGAAATAAAATTGATAGGGAGAAACGTAGTCTTAGAGCAGATCATTCAGATACAGGTAGCATACAGGTGTGCTTCAGATGTAAAATATATTATCTTACCAGCACTTCTCTCCTGATATGGATGCTACCACCTAGTGGGCCTTTTAGGAAACGCACTAACACATTACCTTAAAACAAACCCAAACCAAACTCACTGCCCTCCAGTGGATCCGGACTCCTTATAGGACGGGGTAGAACTGCCCCTGTGAATTTCCAAAACAGTGGTTTTGAGTTGCTGACCTTGTGGATTGCAGACCAATTTGAAACCACTGAACTGTCTTAGAAATCAGGGACTCAATAAGCAGGAAGTATGTGACGAGTAGTGGCATTAGTTCAGCGGTAGAATTCTTCCTTTTTGTGCAAGAGGCCCAGGTTTGATTCCTTAGCAATACAAATTATAAACCGCTTTATCTCTCTGTTAGTGGAGGCTTGTTTGATGCTATGATGTTGATCAGGTTTAACCTGTTTCCCCGAAAGTAAGACATCCCTGGAAATAAGACCGACTTACAGTTTTGCCTCTCGCTGAAAAATAAGACATCCCCCTGAAAATAAGACCTCCCCCAAAATAAGGCCCCCCAAAGCTACCATAACTCTGGACTCTGGACCGTAGCAGCACGTGCCGCCGCGCAGCTCACTGTTGGCCGCAGTGTAGCCAAAGCAGACAGGAAGTGCAAGGTCTCTTTAAATAAAGCAATAAATGTGTACTTTATTCTTCTTCTTGGAAAAATAAGACATTCCCTGAAAATAAGACCTAGCGCATCTTTGGGAGCAAAAATTTATATAAGACGCTGTCTTATTTGGGGGGAAACAGGGTAGTGGGGCTTCCAGACTAAGATGGACTAGGATTAAGGGCCTAGTGATCTGAAAATGGCTCCCTGAATATTCATTCTACACTAACCATGGGAACAGTGCACTGCTGGGCATAACTTTGCAGCATTGTACCTGGGTCACCACGAATTAGGGGTTAACTCTCTAATGGTTAACAACAATAAAGATTATGAAGAGTAAATATCTAATATGTTCTTTTTCTTCAGCCTTCATTTCATTGTTTTTGACACCGAGATGGCTCATGATATCCTCAAGGTCTGGGATGGTCCGGTCGACAGCAACATCTTGCTCAAGGAGTGGAGCGGTTCTGCGCTTCCAGAGGACATCCACAGCACCTTCAACTCGCTCACGCTGCAGTTCGACAGTGACTTTTTCATCAGCAAGTCAGGCTTCTCCATTCAGTTCTCAAGTAGGTGGCGCAGCTTGCTTTTTAGCGATTTCGATAGCAGCTTGGACCATAATACTATCATTGTACTGGCACTCCCCTGTCTCACCTTAAAAAGATGACATTCACGATGAGTGTAATTTGTTCTTGCAAGCGAACATTTCTTTTCTTTTTTTTTTTTTT